TGTGTTAGTTTCTTTGTAGTGTATTCAGTGAATAAACATTGTACTCCCCAGCCTGCAATCTAAAGGTAAGGGAGCTGGACCTGGGAAGTAAGGTTACAAAGTGCTTTTACCAAGTGTGTGCTGTGTGTGGGTGGCTGTTACTGTGCACACACCCTCCACTTGGCCGTGCTCCCACCAGCTTTCCTGACAAAATCCCGTGACTCTTCACAAGAAGCACAGTTCCTAACATGAAGACTAAACAGTGCAGTCATGAATAAAAACAGGCTTAGCCAGCAAACGGTTCACCCTGCTAGGGAAGATGAGGTGATCAAACATGATGCTCCCTACCCCAGTCTTCCTCGCTGATGCCAATTCCAGTTTCACCCCCAGGGGCATCAGTGGAGCCATATGCATGCTGACATTACCCCCTTGTAGCATGTGTCCATGCTGAGCTGCAGGAACAGCCACCGTGTGTGGTTTGGGTGGAGTCTGATGCTGGCAAAGCTGGAAGCCGTGACATGGCCAGGATTTCAGTTCTGGGTCGGACAGATGCCTTGGGTAGGACAGAAAGCCAGTGACAGCTGCATAAACCTAGGACAGGACAGACTATTTTTCACCAGCTATTATCCAGTAATATTTCTGTGAAGTGTTTCCATAATGACAGGAACTGAAGTGAAACTGAATTAAACAAGGACAACATCAAGGTCGTGAGGTGGCAGAGAGGGATTATTTATCCCCAGACAGTCCCCCCCTGTTGAGTTCTGCTGCATGAGGAGCCTTGGCACAGCTGTCAGGAACTAATATCTTCCACTTCTGAAAGCCACCTGGGACGTCTCTACAAGGACCTCTTGAGAAGAAAACATCTCCTTGGATAGAAGCCAAGCAGGATGAAGGAAACTCCGCTAGAAATCACCAAGGGCCTGTCTGGTTTCAAATGGCTGCAGTGCAGCTTGTGCAAACTCTGCTGCCTCAGATGTGGGGAGGGACGAATGATGACATTTGCAGCAGACTCTGGGAAGCTGAACAGCAACTGAGAATGCCGTATAGGAATGGATGCTCACCACACTCACACTGGATCCCAGGACTGTCAAATAGCGAAAAAAAGTGCCCCCTGTCCATTTTCACATCACACCTCCATTTCTGGCTGCCCACTTGCTTTAGCCACAGAAAAAAAATGCATAAGAGAAGTGAAACATTTCCCTTTGCAGCCTCAGCACCAGTTAGGGTCTATTGCATAGTCTTCCTGATGTTTGTGGGTCCTAGAGCAAGACACTGCAAACACTCCAGTTTTTCAGAATTTTTCTCTTTACTATTTAGACCTTATAATCTACAATAATTTCATCTCCTTTTTGCTTCTGTATTTTTTTCCTCTCAAAGTAGCTCATCTTGAATTCCAGAAACATGCAATCCCCAGGCAGAAGCATCGCAACAGCCTCTTAGATGGACACTGATGCAAAATGATCACTTGTCTCATTAGGAATTCTATTTCTTATAGCATGAGACAAATCAATTTTTTGGAGGCTTCATGTTTCTGATGTAGAAATAAAACCAACTGAGATTGTGTAAGTATTTGCTCTTCACATTCCAGTTAAGCTCATGTAATCTTGTACGCACTAACTGCGAGTGACTAGTTGCCCTTGCCTGTGTTAGGTCAAATTTATAAATTGTGAAGATACGTTTTTGGTCAAACAGCATTTTGAAAAATTTAATTTCAGCCATATTGATTTATTCCTTGCTTTCCTACTTTACTTTTGTTCAGTGATATTCATGTTCCCTAAATTTTTCATTTACTCTAATAGCATTTTGTTTCTTTTAGTAGCTTTGTTTCTTTTAACTTTAGCACCTATAATTTAATTAGTCTCCTTTTCTGAAGATTAGTGGCGATGCATCACATTTTCAATAGAAAATGTAATCACCTACCCTGTTACTCATCTGCTGTTACTCTAGGAATGCCTTCTGTGCATTATTTAAGAGATATACACATTTTCAGTAATGTTTGCTCATTCCAGTAGTATCAGTTTCAAAATAGATTAAATCACAGTTAGATGCCACATAATTAAAAAAAAAAATCTGTTTCGGGAAAAAGAGATATTTTAAAAACACTTTATTGGCAAGTGTTAAATTAAAACAACTGGTTTTCTTGGGGGTGATTTAGAGCTACCAGTTGCTCCATGGGGTAATATTAAAACTGACAAATTTCCTCTAAAGCAGTGGACCTGAGACATACAGTGTTGTGGTGCAACACCTCTGTAGTACATCCTTTCTCCAGGAAATTGCTCACTGGATGGTTCTGATTTCAGAATCTACTTCCATTAGGTCCAAATTCACAACAGTTTTAAAACAACTCCTTTCTGTTTTCACCCTTCACATAAAATAGCACATCAATTTCACAACAAACGGCCAAATGCAAGTACTTGTATCTGGGGGCCATTAAAAACAATGAAGAAAGGTGGTATTCACAAAGTACAGGTTTAGCCCAGTGAGGTAAATCTTCTGTGTGCCCTTTGCAGTCATGGAGAACAGCCAGGCAGGCCCTCCAGAGGATGTTTCAGAGCAGAGCAGCTAGCTCGTGCCTGAAATCACATAAGAAGAACCCCCATGGAATATCCCTCCTCCCAGCCTTACAAACCTGTGTGTCTGAAACGTGGCCAACATACTGCCCATCATAAACAGCTTTCTGCAAGGGGCCATGTCCATCCTCCCACAGCCCGTTGCCTTGCATGTTACTTTCACCACCTGATCAGCATGGAAAGGGAGCCCACCCTTGGAGGCAGGAGAGAATCCTAGAATTGTTTAGGTTGGACAAAACCTCTGAGATCATTGAGTCCAACACAGCATTGCAAAATCCAGCACTAAACCAATGTCCCCAAGTGCCACTGAAAAGACATCTACATGTCTTTTCACTGCCTCCAGGGATGGGGACTCAACCACTCCTCTGGGCAACCTATTTCAGAGCTTGACAACCCTTTCTGTGAAACAATTTTCCCTAATATCCAACCTAAACTCACACTGGATACATAGGTGGGGAAAACCATGGCTTTTTGCTTTTCAGGGCATGAGGTGTTCTAAAAAGCCTGCAGGTGGGTGCACTGTTGAGCAGGCTCCAGGGGAATGCTGGCATGCAGGAGCAGCAGCCTGGCTCCTGAGGACAGTGAGCAGAGAGCTCTGTGCTAGGGCACTCCACTTAATGAACTGAAAACATTATTAACTAAGCCAATACCACCAGCCTAATGGAAAATCTGTCTCTGCATCTGTTGCGCAATTTTTAAGATGATCGAACCAACTAGGAACGGTTTAATCAAAAAAGCCAACAGGAAACCTTCAAATAGCAGGAGAGTGAAGAGATGCATATGTTTGCTGATTTGTTTTGTGCATGGTCAAGCCTCTCAGGTTTCCTGTCCTGCAAAGGGCTTTCTGCTTCTTCTTGGGTGACATCTTCAGTTTCTGTAGGAGCTTCTGGTGGCCTAACAGTGTCTGTCTACATCCACCACATTTATCTTCATGCTTCCCTTGTGACCAGCTGTTGTTTTGTCATCTTGGATCTCACAAATAATGACCACAGCATCATTTGGACATGTGTTTTCTGTTTAGAACGACTGAAGATTTTTTCCTGCATTGGAGAAGTTTCCTGAACCAGTTGTGACTGTTCCATAGGAAACATTAAAACTGAAGGGATGAGACATACTTGCACCCTCCTGTGCAAACTCTTGCCTGAGAAGAAAATGTATTTTTAAATTTTGATGTACATTTATTAATCCATTTCTATGTTTTAGTCAAAGTATGGTCAATATACCTGAAATTTATAATATTTCTAAGGAACAGGGTTGTTACCATTCTAGTCCTTTATTGGGCAGTGATCCTTTTTCATTTTCCACACTGAATACAAAACCACAATCCATGGATCTGGCTTTGTTTGTCTGACTGTCTTGTCTCTGCTTTGTAAGTAACTGAATCATAATCTGTAAACTTTTCAGAGCCAAGACATGGTCTGGTATCTACATCCAAAACTCCATGAGTTCTGAGACACCTGAAGTCCAGACACAGAACATTTAAAATTCCTAAAATGATAAAGACCTTACATATTCTCCACCAAAAGCTTGAAATTAGGAATGAATGTATTGTTCGTCCTTTGGATAACATTTGCTCAACTGACAAGCCAACAGATCCTGACGATACCCGAGTTCAGATCAGGGTGTTTCCAGGCATGATCCGTGGCGACCCACCTGAACTCTGCAACAAGACAATACACCAAAGGAGATTGAGTAATTCAGAGATTTGCTTTTGCTGCAGCTGTGATAAAGCTTTTCTTTTTCAGTTCTTCTTTGCAGAATGTGTAGTCCTAATTGTTGTATATTTTGTCAAAACCTGCCAACTTGGTTTGAATCCAGAGGGAGTTTTGCTTTTAGAAAAAGGCTTGTACAAATTAAGTTGCTGGAATTAATTTCTAGAAACAGACAATGAGTTTCTGTTAGTTCTAGTATATCACACTGCATTTTTGCCTTTGCTTCCTTTGGAAGTGAAGAATAAATGGTTCTTAAGCAAGTATCTTAAACTAACTAAACTGAAATGTATAAAGTATTGTTATGGGGATACAACAACTAAAATTTTATAAATGAGTTGTATGCTGTGAATGACTGCACTCGCCCTTGTGTCTCCTTTTGAAATACATTCAATCAACTTTTGAGACTTCTTCAATGTGCAATGTATTCACTTTATTCCACATGTGGAAAATTTTTTAGAAAAATTAATTTTATTTAGTTTTTCTATATATTTCTGTTCAGAGGATAAGTTTCTAATTTTAAAAGAGTCATAGTTGATGTGTTTAGTAGATTGGCAGTTGGCATAAACTTTTAACAAAACTGTGTTGCGTAATGGTGACACACAGGTTGCAAATACCATACAGTGACTAAAAGGAACTAAAACACTGAACGCTAAAACTGTGATGCATTCTTTAAAAGGCAGTGTTTATCGAAACACTTGCATAAAGAGCTCTTTCAATTAAAGATATAAAAAATGAGAAATTCCTTTAAGACTGTTTTATAAAGCATTTTAGTTAAGACAAATAACAATAAACTATAAATTAAACACAGGCCTCTTCAAGCCTGATGGACAAGTCATCCTTGGCCTTCAAAGAAGTTCCTTCCTGGCGGCACTTTCGGGGTAACTTCTGAAAATGATTCATAAATCTATTTTAATTCTTAATCAATCTTTTAATTTCTTTTTTTTTTAAAACTACAGACATCAAATTAATTTAAACAACAAGCATATCTCTTTTCTTTTTCCTCTGAACTTGACACCAAAGCTTTTGATAAAAAATAAAACTTGAAATCCCATTTTTAGTAACAGCTGAAAGCACATACTGCTCATTGCACAAACCTAGACACAAATGAGTATTGAGGAATTAAACTTCTAGATACACTAAAGCTAAATGAGTTGATTTTTCCAAAAGAAAGCCAAAGAAAAAACTTCTAAGAAGCAAGTAATTAGTAAACAAAGGAAACCACAAAACCAGTAACAAACATCATAAACCTATTAACTTCACACAGACTAAAATGTTGACAAATAATCTCCATTCCAAAGTAATAACGATTTGCCAAAATACCAACAGCAACAAATAAAAGGTAGCCTTACATTAAAGTCAGAGCTGGCACAAAGCACACTTTGGGGGAACACACATACACACACAGAGCTCTGAAGTTCTTTCTCAGTTGTGTGCTATTTTTGATTATTTGGTGACGCACAGGCTGGCTGCGGTGCTGCGGTGCCAGTGCCCCTGCCCCAGCTTTGCTCCCATTAGCTACCTCTTAGTCTTAGCTCCCATCATCAAAAGCAACAAGCAGCTTCCAAACACACAAAGTAAACCAGCCATCTGATATTTTCCTGCATGAGTTCAGTTTGAGAGGAGGAGGCTGAGGTGTAGCAGTAGCATTTGGATCGCTTCTAAATTGTTTATTTCATTTGGATTGTTTCCTGGGGGAAAAGGGATCCTTTGTGGTCACTGGTGCCTGATCTTCTAGCCAGTCTCAGTATGCCCCCATAGGCATGCTCTCGTTGTGGGTTCATGTTCAAAGATGACAGGAATACAAGCATTTTTCCCTTAACACTATTTAAATCAAAGCTCCAAGCTGAGGCCGTGGATGGAAGAGGTGCTTTGCTGGCTTCTTGCTCCGTTCCTTTGGAGACCACCATGCCAAGGCTCACGCTGTAGGGCTTCTCCTCAGCACAAAGCTGCCTGACAGCTACCAACACACCAAACACACTCTCTGTAATCTCAGTACACCTTAGGTGGGATCTTTTTGGCATCCCAGTGCATCCTCTCCTGTCCCTCCTCCAAGGGGACATGCTCTGATGTCTTATCTATCATAGAAGTTTCCCCTTTTTTCAAGACTCACCCCACCAAAATCCAAAGAAATCACAACAAAACACCTCCTGTTGAGCTTATTTACAACTTTGAGAACAACATATGCAAAAAAGGAATGGATACTTCCTCACTGACTGGTGAGATTTCTTGGTTGTTTCTCGTGAGACATTTCCCTAGTTCACCTTTTGAGTCTATTATCTCTGTTATCACAAACCTGTCTTGAAGATTAAGCTCTCACTCCAGCCAAGACAAGTCAGACAACTGAGAGGTGGAAAGAGGAAGAACCTTTACAGATAAGTCTATCTCCCATACATAGTAGCCAACCAGGAAGAGTGATCTGGAGCTAGGACTTTCGGCTCCTGAAACTGTAAGAAAAACAAAACATGTAACGTGCACACCTGTGTACACAGAGATGCACATTACATTACAGCTAAAAAATGTTCATCTGTAATTGCTAAATGTTAGTTCTGATTTGTTCCTTGTTTTGCTGTTTAAGATCTTAGGTCTAACTTCGCATTTGGAGTAATAAACACTTGTATTCACTTTTTCATTGGACTCATCCCCCAACACTTGTTTATTATAACCTTGAATTCCTGAGATACTGCAGCATTCCCTGTCACAACCTTTAGTAAGATAAAGCAACTATTTGTTACACGTTCATCTTCCACAATATAATTAGAGTAAAATAGTTATGAGTCAAATTGTAGCTACCACTGCTTATGATAGAATGAGGATTTTTGCTTCTCATTTTTAGTATTTGTTGAAGAGGCCTGAGAGAGTTCGATGCACATTCACTGATCAACGTACAACTTTTAAAGCCTGAATCAACAGTCTTGTATTTCCAGTTTAATTGTCATGATTAATCATCATGAAGGTAGACAAACCAGACATCCACACAGGATCTGGTGGGATCAGGCACCAGGAACCTGCACATGAACAGATCACAATAATGAGAGAGTGAACCACGTGAATTTTCCTTTTTCATACAGGATAACTTGAATTAAAACGTGTTGTGCCAGTGATTTTGCCTTTTGGACCTCTGCCCTTGCCAGAGAAGGAGAACTGCTGTGCTAGTGGCTAACTGAGATGACGTTCACTCCTTCAACAGGAGATGATACTACTGCTGTGATGTTCCTGCCTGGGGTCACTATTAAATCCTGTGTATTCTGTGCCCTACAGTGCAGGGTCAGAGTCCACAGAGCAGTAAATGGCATTATTCCCTAGAACAAGAGTGCTTCCGTATGGAGGTCAAAAGTGATAATAGTTCTGTAAACCAAACTGATTGCACTGGAACTGGATAATAAGATTATTGCATTAGAGTCTGGGTTGATTAAACTTTAACTATGGTTAAAAAAGGAGTATTTTTGATCCAGCTGTTATATAAACAGGACAGACAAACTCCCCTAAATAACAACACTTATAACAAAAGAACAACGGACTGCTTCAAAAAGGACTTTTCCCAGTTTGCTTCCACACTTCTTTGGCGCCTTTAATGCTTTCTCTTTTCACACACTTCCAGTAACCTTGAATGCCTTGCTGTTGCGGTACCTGTTAATAAAGTTAGAGTGTGTTTAGCATTTACACAAAGAAGACTCCTATTCCCAGATTATGTAAATACAATATGTAATGCTGTGCTGCTGCTTCCGTAGTTCACATGTGTAATAACAAGTTCTTGGTGGCAGCACTCCTCCCAGATTCATATGCAGTAAGGAATATCCAGTTTAAAATATATATTTTTTTCCTATTCATTAAGTCTACTTCTTTTCTACAAGTGTTTACAAGATAGTTGTAGCAATTGTCTGTGGTATTTAAAAACAATTAAATCAGCTTGTTACCCTCAAACCTCGATGAATTCGGTTCCTCAGGACTCCAAGAAACTCGCTGTGGCTGAGGCAGTCATCTCCATCGAGATCAAAAATCTTGAAGATGGTATCCAGAACATTATCTGAGAGTTCTTGTCCTGTTGCCACCTTCACTGCTCTCTTGAACTCAGCTAGTAAAGACATAATATTACATCACAGCTGACTGTGAACTTGTAAAGAAAATTAAAAGCATATAATTTACAATATATACATTTACAATGTCTCATGGGTATCCTAAGTGGATGACTTGGGATGTGTGAACTACTAAACTATTAGGAGGTCTCAGTTCATGTGTTCTTGAGCTTGCTTCATCTTCTGTAACACTACCTTTATTAATTTTATGATAAACTTTTGAAATGCACTACTTCTCAAGTAACAGTAATAATTTTTTTCTAGAAATAGCTGCATGCTAAAAACTTACATACTTTTGGCTGCTACCTGTGCATAGGGAGGATAACTTGCCTTACTATGATCTCATAAAAAACCCTACCATTTTATCTCAAACCAGTTTCACGCCAATTCATTCTGCAAGAAAACTCTTCTCCTCAGAGAACAGTATTTTATGAGATAAAATAAAAACTTCACCTCAACCAAAAATCTCCTCAGCAACTCTGTAGAAACACAGACCATCAAATGGTCAACATGCTTCTTACAGCACATGGCTTTATATACCTGCAGTTCTGTTTTTTAAAGAAGCAGGCTACCTTCTCTTAAAATATGGTTGAAGAGTTTATGGGGATTTGTGGCAGAAAAAGCCAGCACATCTCTCTGAAGATCTACTTTTGTCTTCAGCTTTTTTGCCTCTGTCTTTACACTGCCATGTGCCCTACAGAAATAACCCACTATCCCCACTTTTGGTGTACAGAATTTGGAGTTTTGACTCAAGGAAGATGATGAAATATAGGGATGCTGTAAAACAGCAGATTGTAAGAGTGAAAGGACTGTTGTTTATTACAGTAAGCACAATCCCAACATATGAACTGGCTGCATTTCTGAAGGCATCATGAAAGTGTGAATTTCAAGAAGGGACTGGAGGTTATTAAAGTATAGCAGTATTGTAGATTATTACAGCAAGTTGTCCAATGAAGTCATAAATATAGTATTAACATGGTTCTGCTTTCAGAAACAAGTGCTTTTTATAGATAGTGCTATAAATATGATTAGTTCTGAAGCTTACTAAAGGAAATAGCATTCCTAACTTAGCTCTCATCTTTATCTCTTTCAACAATTCCTAACGTAATAAATGTAGAATTTACAGTTGCTTTAAATAAAATTTAATTGAAAATCCTTTTGCAAGAGGATATACCACAATTTGAAAAGGACATGACATATTGGATGATTATAGTAGAGTCTTAATTTTGTCTTTTGAAACATGTTAACTGTTTCATTTCTTGATGCTAAAGTCAAATCCAGACACAGAAATGTACTTTTTTTTGGAATATAACAAGAAATGAAAAAAGGAGAAAGATCTACAACAGTGGAGTATAATAATCTTCAAACTAAGAAGGGCCATCTTATCTGGGAGAAAAGATGAGTTGTGAACTCAGAAGAAAAAGAAGTCTAGAATAAAAAAGAAGGACTAAATCACTGTCTTATTTCTAGATCAATATTCATATGTGTGTGAATACACACATGTACACACATGCAAACAGCAAGACAAAGAATTTAGTGAGATTCAGGAAAGGATTAGAGATGTAGAAATGTAACATCTGTGAGTTACCTCAGCATCTGACTGCTTTTGATCACAATGTGGTTCAGTGCATAAACAGAGTCACAACTGCTTGTTGGTTAGGAACGAGTTTTTACAGGGAAAAACCTTTAGAGTCAACACCAGCTGATGGCCTCATTATCCTTTGGCACTTAAAAATGGGATACTTAACAGAGAACTGAGTTAAACTCTTGCATCTCACTTATGACTATTATTTCACCATTAATTCACCCTCTTTCCTCTCCACTCTTTGTATGCCTTGTGCAAATAAAATCTGTCTCCCACCACAGAAGAAAAATGTTGTTAAACCAGACTGAGGAGAACCATGAATTCAGCTGGAACAGAAGCACATGATGGAAGAAAAGAAGCTGAGGGAGCTGGGAAGACCAGAAGTGTAAGGGAATCTTGCTCCAGCCTTCAACTGCCTCAAAGGGTTTATAGAGTAGACAGTGCCCCATTTTCTCAAAGGTGCACAGAGGTAAGACACAATCACTGTAAATTGCAGCAAGGGTTTGACACAGAAGAGGAAAATCTCCATGATGAGAGTAGATAAGCACTAGAACAGTCACCCACAGAGGCTACAGAAGTGAAACTTCCTGAAGGCTGGACTAACTAGTGATGAGAGTCAGAAGTTGTAAATCCCACAGTTTTGGCCTTTTTTGGTTCAAATTCCATCCAAGCACCTCTCTCTCAAGAATGTGTAATTCTCCTGCCACCTTCTCATATCTCCCTCACGTTTTTTCACGTGAGCCCACCAAATATTAATTCCATAAAAAAATGCATTTTTTTTTCTTTTAAAAAAACCCAAACCAAAGGTGTACAGCACTTACCCCGTTTCACAGGACGATTTGCTACAGTAAACATCTGCATGGCGATGGAAAAGTCTTCCAGGTTATTCGTAAACTTGCAGAAAGTCTTGAATTCTTCCAAGCTGATGTTCTAGAGTATCACAGAATTCAGGTGATATATATTGAATAATACATTCAAATCCCAATAATTCTATTTCATTAAATCAGGTAGGAGTTAGTGTTTAGGTGCGATTGCCTACTCATTGTCAGTACTTGATTTCTCAGCTATCAAATTATCAGTCCCTATTTGCATAAAATTCAAGGGCTGCAGTAACTCATTTGTTAACTAGTTACCTTATTAGATACTCACATTCAATGAAAATATGTACATACAAAGAAGGAAGCAAAGCAAAGCAGAGCAAGCTTTGGGTACCAACCTCTCCCGCCTCAATTCTGTCTTTCACATTCTGCCAGTAAATTTCATTGTTGTCCTCATCAGTGAAGTACAGCAACCATGCCGCAAAGTCTTCTTTCCTCATGACGTTCAAACCCTTTGAAAACTTTATGAATTCCATTTCTTGGACTTCCGTTTGCAGATTTTCCATGAACCTGTAAGTGTAAGCAGATATAATCCAACAGTTTATATCCGCATCACTGTATCACTACACTACCCCGGCTACTAAATGCAGTAGGCAGTGTCTCTGAACTGGAGACGCACCAACACCGTTGTTTAAAACACCGCTGCTTTGATTTTACCGGCGCGTGTGGATTAATTCCCAGGGCTGCATTTCCACAGCGGCACCAGCAGGGCACGCTCTCGGCCCGCACAGGTGGCTGCCGCCAGGAGAACTTGCCAATGTCATCTAGTTTTTACCAATGTTTAAAAACGCACTGATAAGGAGATAAAATAACTGGTAAGGCAGCAGCATAATGAATGGATGAAAAGGGACATGGTAACTAAAGGCCTGACACATGATTTATGAGATTTCATATTAATAGGAGAGGAATGACAGGGTTGGAAAGTGCCTAGAAAGATGAGGCCCTAATAATCACCAAGGTGAAAGAAAAGAGGAAACTTGAAATCATCACTACAGGAGAAGATGACTGAAAGCCTCAAAGATTATAACTGCATACAGAGGTTTGGCAAATCAGTTCTGCACTCACTAGAGGATGGATTAGAGAGGATTATAATTCACATGTACAGAGTTCAGAAGAGCAGAGAAAATGATGTTGCAGGAAGGTAAGAAGAGAACTGGCTGAAAAAAGAAAGGGTGAACATCAAGGTTTTTTAGAGATACCCACTCATTTGGGAAGAAAAGTATCACAAGAAGCAAGTATAGGTACATAGCTGGAACTGTAAGGAGAGTTGGAGCTTTGAGTTTCCCCAGTTTGGTCTACATGGCCATTAATTCCCATTAATTTATTCTGGCTAATATTAATTTTGAAAAAGCAAAAAACAATATTGTGTGATCCATCTGATAACTTCCACTTCAGAAATGGGGCAATCCAAAAACAAGTGATGTTTTTTAAATAAAGGCTTTTTAAAAACAGTGGTGCTTGCCAGAGTACTTTTAGTATTTTGAAAGAACCCTGCTTTATTGAGTTGCAGAAATTATTGACAGGAGAGAATGAAATACTCCTACACTGGGATGAAGCAATTAGTTGGAGAAGAGGACAGCTAAGGGTCTGTGTAGCCAATATCAGCAGAGGCTCATTTGCTCATCAGTGTTTGCACGGCCTCACTGGGTTTGAATTCTTTCCCTTGAAATTAAGGCATTTTAGTCCACACAGCTATCTTTAGTTCTTTAATGAGATCACTTGGACAATTAGTAGCTCGAAGCTCTGTGAAGTCTGTAAGGGCTTAGCTGAAGACTGCTGTTGTGGCATAAGAGCTCTCTCTTGAATTTTTTCTTCTAATAGATAGAGCTGCACGTGCAAATGAAGGGCAAACAAATGCTTCACAGCTCAGGACATGCAGGTAAAACGAAAGCCTTATAGCGGAGATGATTTTAAGTTTATGATTTTAAGTTTCAGGCTAGAGTTTAAGTAGGGTAATACTGAGGGGGGTACAATATGCTCTCACATTTTATTCATGTATTTTTCTGGTCTAGTAAAGGGGGGTTACAAGACTCTCACAGTATAGTCAAACACTTAAGGTATACTCCTCCAGAGTCAACCTTAAGACCTGACGCACTTTCAACTCCCCCGACTCTCCCTCTCACAAGGAGATGAAACACCAGAGGACCAGTTAGTGCCACTAGTGTGACCGGGCAGCCCCTTGTCTTGTAGACCAGCAAGAGCTGACTTCCACAGCTGGCACTCTTCTCTTTTCAAACCCAGCTCCTTTAACTCACGAGGACACTGTCTCTGGCCAGCACCGCAGTCAGCATGTGCCGGGGAGACCAGCCCGGCTGCAAGTGTTGGCACAAGTGGCCCTGCTGCACCCACAGCTTGCAACAGTCCCCCTGGGTCCTGGGAAGGGAGGCTGAGGTGCAGGGGCAGAGAACAGCATGGACCTGGCATGTGGACCAGGCACGGAGTCAGTCCAGCAGAGACTGACTAGGGCCACTTGGCTGCATTTTGAGAGTGGCCATCACGGGTAAGGAGTAGGTGGCATCTGGGATGTGTGGCTTGTACTTAGCTGGAAGTCACTGTGCTGAACAGTATCTCTGAGTGTAGTTTCTAAGCCTTGTAATGTCTGGTCTGGGGGAAGAAAACTGCTGAAAATGACATCACTTACAGAAATACGCCTAAAACCTGGATATAGGGAAACAAGACACTATGTTTTATTTTCTTGGCTTTTAATCTATGAAAGGTAGATACATTTTGCAACAGACCTAAGGTCTTGAGCTATTTATCTTGGGGAGCTAACTCACTCTCATTTGCTTTACTGGTCAGTAGCCACAGGTGATGACACACAGAAACATACTCTTCCACCTTTTCTGAATATTGCATTTCCTTAAGTAGAAAAGCCTTGGTGACCTGCCCTCTAGCCAGACCCAATAAAGGCAGGAGAGCTGAAAGATCAATGACTTCTACAAGATAAGGAAGGAGCATGTGGCCCACCAAGCTGCACACATCAGCCAGCTGAAAGGGGCAGCAAAGCCAGAGCAGAAAGTGAAGGTTTTGGCTGTGGCATTTTTGACACACACGTGGTTCTTCACCCTCTTCTAATCAAAGTTCATTTCAACTTGTAGGCTTGCTCCTGGCAAGCCAGAGTGGGAAGATTTCCTGCTGTATCAAATGCTACTCAGAGTACCAGCTGAAATGGGCAATTTTAAATTTATGTGATAGTTCCCCATATTAAAAAAATTAAAATACTGTGAATCATCGCATCAGCATTCTAGGTCATTCTTATTCCCAGATGTGAGAGTTAAAAATCCTAATGAGTTTTTTTTTCAAGTGAAAGTTATTATAAGTTATTAAAAATAACTTTCTGGTTAGGAAGTAAAACTGGATACATAAATGTCAAGACACCACTAGGAATACTTGCTTTTATATCTTTTGGATCACAGTGCAATGAGTTTCAGCTGGAAAATCCTCAAAAATTTATCCAGATATTAGGAAAAACAAGCATAGGAATGAAATTCCTGCTCTCCCAAAGTCAGTGGGAACTTGACTGGGAACATTGAAGGGAGTCAGAATTCAACTACAAGAACAGGATTCTGATTGTAGATCTGCTCTACAATTAAAAAATAATTGCACTGGGAATACTCTTACGTTGGTTGAAAATAAAAGCAAACCCTAAGTTTCCAAATAAAAATGAAAGGCAAACTGTAAATTTATAAGATGGGGAAAAGGCTGAGAACAGACAGTACTTTCTTCAAGATAACCCATTTTATGCACACTCTCTAAAACACCCACATTGAAGGCCAATGGCCAAATTCCTTATCGTGCTACAACAGCATCCAGAAACCTTATCAGGACTTATCCCTCATTTTGTAATGTGCTCTACTATAGAAAGAGGGAGTCTCTCAAGACTTTTTGGCAACTCAGCTTTAATGGTGTTAAAGCACCACAAATAGAAGTGAAAACGTAATAAAAGCAGGGAGACCTCAGGAATGCAGCTATTCCCCCTCCAGCTGGAGAAGTGCTACCATTGTATTCTTTACCGAACACAAAATAGTAGAATGACACATTAAAGGAAATGTTTCCACCTCTTGACCTGAACAGTCTGTGCAGAGCTTTAACACTCTAGTACAGATCTGAGCAGTTCTTGTTGCGCTGATTTGTAGGAAGGAAACTTAACAACAGAGATAGTGGTGGATATAACACCCCTGCATTTATACCCTGCTTTGGCTCCTCTTTGGACACTGAAGTCCTTTTGAAGAATTGGTAACTCCCTCTGCACCAAAAGGCTGTTGCAAACCAGCTGAGAGTTGCCTTTTTGCTATCTGACTCAAACAACAATACAGAAAATATCATAAAGGCTTGACATTAACCTTCGGAGAACATTTAGATCTATGCTCATAAATTCAGTTTTGCAAGCATTAAGACAGTTAATCAATCTCACCATTTTCAGAATTACAGACAAACCCCTCTTTGATTTACTATCATCATAAGTATTTCTAAACCAACCCTTTCATTTATAAGCACTGTGTAGAAACTAATCAAGCTATTCTTTTGCTAAGTATATAGGAAAGGAAGAAATAGACTTTTCTCAACCTCTTTCCTAAGTATTTGGGAGATATTCAGATTGAGTTATGATAGGAATATCATGAAGCCAGATTTTGTTGCTGTCTCCACCTCCTCGCTGCCTGATCTTGGTTGCACTAGAAGGTCTCAAATGAAATGTACCAAGGAATTTCAAATACTGAAGAAAAGAAACAGGGTAGGCAGGGAAAAGGCATGATTTGTGCATGGTTATACAATTTGTGACCTTCAAGCTAAAGCAGAAATAAAAAAGGGATCACTATTAAAGAATATTTCTGGTGCAAAATTCTATTAACCTATGAAAAGTTTGGAAGCAACAAATCAGGTAAGAAAATGCCATAAACTGGATTTGAAATGTTAACTTTCCTTATATGATTAAAAGATGCCCATTATTTAACCATACTGGGAAGTACTTTTTTGTAAGACATCCCAGGAAAAAATACAGCTATCAGAGAGTTTTTTCCACACGTTCTGCACTTTTTTTTCCCCTTCAAGAAGACTGTGAGAGATTTAAGCTTGCTTGGGGACGGATTACAGGAACAAATCACAGCAGTTGTAAATAGTTTAGGCAGTGAAATACTGCCTTCTCTTTTATTTGGGATTAAACATACTTAAATAAGATCAGTAGGAGACATGGGGACTTTTTTCAGGGGAAAAAATAGTGTCTGTCAGGAAGAAATACTTGCTATATCTAGAATACTAAATAGTTTTCTACTCAGAATAAAAAACAGTACATATAATATAGCTGGAAATTAAAGCACAAATGAAAATTATGTTTTGGAAGGAAAAGACCAAAAATTATTTCTCTATCAAAAATGGGGGTAAATCCATACAAAACAATAAAAAGCCTGGAATTCTGGGAAACTTCTGGCTTCATGTTTGAAGTCTGACATTCTCTAAGACAAGTCCTGGTATTAGAAGATGACATTATTGCTGAGGTGTAAAAATGAGTGGTGGTAATCTGAAATAGAAACTTGTTCAGATCTTCTGAGAATAAAGTCTCACCTGATTAGGGTCTTTTCTGTTAAATCTACTTTCTTTGTAGAAGGCAACACCTTTAGTAGTGATGTATATAAATATAATTTTACTCCAGAAATTTACATTTCCTAACCTTAGCCAGGGAAACAAGCTCTTGCTTTTGAAGTTGTAAATTCTTATTAATAATTACTGTATTGTCCTTATATTAAGGACAATGAAACTAGCAAGAAATGATCTAGAAGTCTGCAGGTGAACATGTGTTCCCTGAGTCCTACCTTTGGGCTTTAAGATCTCTGATACCATATTGTTATTACAGGAAACACATAGGATAATGTACATCTTGCATTGCTTTTACTGCTTCTAAGCAGTTCCAGCTGCAGAACAACATGAGTGTCCCACCAATGCTGCTCAGCAGAGAATGAAGAGGAGCATCTTTGGCTGCTGTTTTCACTATGTTCTGGAGAATAATGAAAAAGAGCTTTACTAGAGACACAAAATAACTATGACAAGATTGTTTCTTTACATCCATGCTCCCAGCAGCCCAAAATGATACTCTGTTTCATGGTCTCATTCTTTGCACTTGGTATAAAAAACTCTAGTGTGTATCACAAACATATGATTTCCCAAGAACCATACAGCAAGCTGGAGATAGATGCTTAAGCCATTTTCCATCCCTACACTCAGCGTGCCTCCTGTGTTCAGGGCAGTAGGAAGGGAGGCACAAGAGCTGGCTTCTATCAGTCTCACCTTGCCTGAAGAAATGTAGACAGTTTCCATTTTCTTTGTGTCATTTGAATGCAAAGAAAGGAGAACAGGACAAATTAATTGCCTTGGTATATTGACTGTGGCTGTCTGACATTTTTTAAATGTTTGGACTGTGGGCTAAAAGGGTTGGACAACACTGGTGTACATGTAGATACAGATGGCTGCACACTTACCAAAGGATTTTTAATCCAGCCAAACTGAAAAGCTTGAGGAAGCCAAAACTGAAGCATGAGGAAAATATATGTAAGTAATGAGATGAGAACACTAGTCTCAGCTTTCAGAATTCCCATGTAAGTACAGTGAAATTTCACAATGAGAGCATTCCTGATTTTTTTTTTTTTTCAAGTTTCAAGGACTCCGCAGCACAGCAGTATCTGTGTATTTACCTAATGTGACAAGTTTTAGTGTGTCCTAATCAAACCTAATCACCTCTACTTTCTACTCGGTACTACACTGATCAATAGAAAAGCTTTCTAAGCAAGAACTTGGAAAATGATAAAAGCATTTACCATCATTATTTTCTGCTTTTGACAATGATCTATGTCTGTACAGCTCATCAGTCATCTCTTGTAAAAACAGCGTGGCACTTTGATCAAACAGCCAACAATAGCTTCCCGCATAAGGTAAAGTGTTATGAGAGGCCATCAGATAGAAATCACATTTTCTCTGAACAATAGGAAGCCAGAAATGATGTGCTTGATTTACTTGCAAATAAAATAATGTGAAAGGTGATATCTTCACAGAGGTTAAAAAGACAGCGATCCTTTTATTCACCTTTCTTCGTGTTAAACAAACTTCACTGTCATGTTGCAACTGAGATGGAGTGTCTATGCAGTGATAAAGAGGCACATTCCAGCTCTACGAAACATAACTGCCACTGTTGAAAAATTACCTGCATTAAACCTTACACTTATCCCACAAATTTTAAGAGCAAGATGTGGGAGTTTGATTTTGATTACAGGCCTCTATCTGTGTGGCGGGCAAAGGTCTTTAACCTATGCGTTCTGAATGTACTAGGTACATAGTTTCATCAATGTCATGCCTCATTGGGTCAATGTAGGATTTTATCTAAAACCCGAGGCTTTTCAGTTTACACTGTATATGCAAACACAACCTTTTACTGGTGCTCTCTGCCTTTTGTTTCACTGAGAGGATCTACGGTATTTACAGGAAAGGGAGCTGCAGACGTCTTAAACTTATTTTACTCACTTAGATTCCTACTGAGCTGAGGTCTTCAAAAGAGAAAGACTGTTTATTTGAAGACTGGTATGTACCAGAGCCACTGGAGCTGAACACTTTATAGTCTACTGATTGCAACAATGTTCATTTTTAAGAGGGCTGACACACATCCTCCATTTCTGAACATAAACTGAAGTAAAACACATTATTCTACTTTATTTTTGCAGTCTGTAAAGGACTGATAATTTTTGCAGAAAAGGTAATATAGTGATGTAGATAATCTTCTCTTGATGTCATCCTAGGAGGCGTGTGTCAAGATTCAAACAGGTATCTGCATAGTCCCATTGCAAAAGTAGTTCAAAGGGTGAAGGAAAAGGCACAGGTAAAGCTTCAACAGCAGCTGGAATTTGAAGCAAGTGGATAAGTTGCCTACAGCTTACCATGCTAGCTGTAATAGGGAAGGGGGTATCTCAGATCAGAAAATATTTTTTATTTGATTAGAAGTCACTTTTTGGATGATTTGGTCAAGAAAAATACTCATGAATCACATTGTTTTAAGGTATGCCACCACAGAACCGCCAAGAACGGGAGTCTCAGCCCTCACAGCCTCCAGGCCCATTGCTGCTCTGGAGTTATGGTGCTCAGCTCCTGCAGACAGCAGACTCTAGGAGCTAAATGGGAAATTCAATCATGCAAAATCATGAAAAACCTCTACTTTGTTGTAATTTTCTGAATCAGCTCAGTGTGAGATCAGATTAATGCCAGTGTTGGTGCAAAGCAGAGGGGATAGGAAAAAGACTGGTTCCTGTTAGGCTTGTCTAGCTGAAAAAATACCTGAAAAACTCAGAATAGCGAAGTTTTTGCTTTCCTTCCTTTCCAAAGAAATGTACCAGCAGCATAGTATTAACACCAGAGTCTTCCAGTTCTGTTTCCTATAAAACAAAAAACCAGTATGATTGTTATGCATTGTATGATTGATACATACTCACCACATATTTAGAAATACTTATTTGAACTAGAATTTCACAAGAGGTACTTGCAAATTAATTACTGTTCCCAAAGCTATCACACAAGATCTCAGAGTTGAACAACACTTCCACATCAACTGCTAACGGTGTATTGTAAGTTCTGTTTCTAAATATTCTGTATGAAAGATAAGGACAAATTACAACCACTGTCAGTGTATTTTATTATTAAAATGGAGAAGGTTGTAAGTTAAATCTTTAAAAATCTTTATTCTTAGGTGAATAGAAGATTTAAATAAAGTTAGTATCTCTAAAAAAATTCAGTTAGATATTTCTAATGTGTTACAGCCATTTTAAAACATATACAATAGTCTTATAAATGAATCTAGGAAAATACAAACATTGACAATGCTCTATTATAATATGGTCTTATGAGGCTTCTTGGAAGTTTTCAATGTTAGAGATTGTTCTATGTATTTTTGAAAACCAAAGAAGAAATTTTTGCAGAGAAGGGGTGCACATTGTTTCAACTCAACAGCATCTTTAACAAGCCTAAACCCACACATAATTCTTCTTTCAGCACTAGCACACTGGCATTTCTTTGAACACAACAAAACGCTAAGCAACACGAAGAGAGATTTTTTTTTTTGGTAAGTCTGTGGGGATTTCAGCAAACTATTCTTATGACATCTAAATAGCCTCTGTGTCTTTTATCTTCTTGAAGAGGTAAGATGAAAGACAAGAGTCTATTCATAAGATTTAATACTAATGGTTATTTAGCTTTCAGCGTCATCAATAACAAGTCCCATTAGTCCACTGTGTTTCATGCTTACTGCATATGTGACACAGTTATTTCACAGTTAAAGCATTCCTTATTTCTACTGCAAGCTACAATTCACCAAATGCCAGTGATATGAGTTATGTACGAGTGAACCTAGAAAAAAACCTCTTCAAGCCACATGCAAACTTTTATCATTTAATTGCAGGCAAAGAATATTTAAATACCCACAAGATCCATCCTTCTGAAGTTTAAACAATTCAGATTACTGTGAAGACTGATGCATAAACATTGGTATATGCTTTTTTGAAAGTCAAAAGTCAAACATTCACGTATGCTTATTTGAAATTCAAACCCAAACTATTTATATCAGAATGCAAAGTTTTCTAAGAAGAAAGAGAGAAGAATCCACATATCCCTCAGTGCAGCCAGATTCTAATGTGCTTTTTGCTTACATGTTTAAAGGAAACTTGAAAAACGCAAGAAATAAATTTGCTGATGTAATTTTAAAAAACTGAATTCATGATTATGCAATTTAATGCTTCCAATTTTATTACTCCATATTACAGTCAGTGTTGTATTGAAAACAAACTGAAAAAACTAGGTTGAAAATAAGCTTTTAAAAACTAAGTCTGTGACAGAAAGTTTTTTCTTCTTTTTCTCTAGTTACGAGCTAGAAGAAGACATACAAACAATACCTACCTCATCTTATCTAAGATGACAAAGCCTATCCCTGAATTAATAGCAAATATGCACCTACTTGTTGGCTACCCTCTTTATCAGTTGGAATTCCACAGTGAAATTGGCAGATGTCCAAATACTATGTTAGAGAGAGTTAAATGTATTTTAAAACTACAAAACAGTACATCTCTTTAAAGCATAAAATGCAATAGGAGACCACAGAGACTACAGCTTAAGGGTAAAATTTAAAAAAATTGCTTTTCCTAGCGTTAATGCTATTAAATTAAACAACATGTTAGTACATAATTCCTTTTAGTCCACAGAATCATTAGGAGCTTTTGCTGCTGAACTGTATAAATTAGTACCAACATGACAAATCTTTGTTAGAAGATAATGAGAGTTCTATTAATATTTCCAACACCTCACCCTCCTGAGCTTAGGTAAAAGAATAACTTCCACTTGGAATGTCTTGGCAATGAGAATGAAATGGTAACCTAATCCTAGAGCTGCAAAGGGGACCAGACTGGGAGCTTAGAGTCACTATCTAAATTGAGTGAAAATTTGTATTCTGGTGTATCTGGCACCTTCAGCCCTGGGAGGGTGCACCATAGAACCCTTCTGAACTGTGCATTTTACAGAAAGCTGAGGCACAGAGTGGAGAAAGAATCTGAGATGTTCTTAGTTTCATCTTGATAAAAGCCCAGAAGGGGGCAGGGACATGTATCTCAACTGGGGAACTCAGACATGTTCCAGGGTCAGACAAAGAATCCCAGAGACCACACAATCTGATGCCACACAAGTCTGTGAACTTAGAAACACATGTGTACATATTACAAACATAGGCTAATTTTCCTAGAGTAATGTTAACGCCTCCTACACTTTTCAAAAGCACCATGAACTGCTGAATTATGCAATTATTCCTTTTTAAGCAAGATCAGATAACACAACAGTTATTTCCTTATTACATTACGCAGGCTGTTAACATAAGAGGCCTGATGCTGCAAACACTGAGTCATGGGCACAGACCTACCTAACCCTGTAGCTCCCCACTGAGCTTTTGACGTTTAGGACCTGATACTGCAGCAAGTACCAACAAGTGCCACTGAGAAGAAACTTACCGCACAGGGAGACGGGATTTTCAGAATAATGTACCTAACTGATTTTCAAAACTCATCTGAAATGTTAATAGACTTACTGTCTCTAGATTCTTACCACCTTTCCTTGCAGAATTTGCCTGAGGCATGACTGGGAAGCATTCATCATGATTAAAATCTGCAATTCGTTTCTTGTTCTCGTGCTTGCTTCCTGGGAGATGGTATTTGCTGTGCAATGCCTTGTTTCAATAAAAATTGTAAAAATAATACATATTTTGGATTGAATTTTTTTTTAATCTAAAACACAGAGTGAGTAGATGGAAGAACAGGGAGAAAAGTGAGGTCAGGCAAGGAGAACATTATCTTAGTTTCTTTTCTGTCTGCTAGTGATGTCCCAAATCTTTCCAAAGGTAAGACTAAATCCTTGCAAATTTTTCTGAGTCTACTTCTCTGAAATGCTCTTAGTTTTTAAGCTGCTAGCTCTGTCAATTCATCATACCAGACTTCTACCCCAGCCTACCCTCATACACTGCTCAAGAGAATTCAAACTTTCTATGATTTCTATGACTCTCTATTGAGAGTCTCCAAGATGTTGAGATATATCCTACTACTCAGTTCTGGGAAGAAGGTTTAAAGAAGTATCCATTATGAAATTAACCCTATCAGTTACAGTCAGTCAAAGGAACTGTAAAGAGGCAAACTAGCGGGACCAGGAGACTAGATCTCCAAAAGCAGTCCTTTTTGGTGAAATCCAGACACTCTCAGCTGGGCCCCAGAATGAAACAACATATTTTATGATGAAGCAACTTGCATCGTGATTTAAATCCATACTCAAGCTTTTTAATGTTTTGCAACACACTTTCTTACTAGGTAGAGTTCAAAGTCTGATGCAGAAGGGCTAAAATGTGCACAACTGTTTCTACAGAGGATATAACAGATAACATCTGAGAAGTCCGATGGAACAGTTTCTAAACAATTAACAACTTATATCCAGTATTCAACAACATCCCATTATTGGTGGGATGAGTTGTTTCTCAATGACAACTAATGCCACGGAACCTCTCTGCTGTACCCTTAGTAATGAATAATGTGCAACTTCATGGACATCCTTAGGTTTCAGCACATCATCCACAGTCCTACATTTGTGAAGAGGTGCAGAATAAAAATGGCTTCCAGCCAAAGGGGCTAAAGCTAATTTGGGAGCAGATGCTGTAAGAGACACTTTATGCCACAAATAGAAACAGGTTGAAACCAGTTTTATTGCGACTGGCTTGACTGTGTCAAGCAGTCAGGGAATGGCACTGTTGCACTGCAAAGCCTGAGGCTGCCTGAGGGGTGCACTGCTGGCAGTCTGTTAAAGCACCTCCTATGCACAGCTGGAGACAGCTCCTCCCAGGAATTCAGGCCCTGCCTCTCTGTCACAGCATTACTTTAGAAGTATTCCTCTCCCCCAGAAGTAGAGATTCCACAACAAGGACCCCCCTCAGCAGGTGTGATGTGCTTTGAAGTACGCTGTTTTGATCAACAGGGACTTGGCCTTGAAGACCAAGCACATCCATCCTCAGCATGTGCAAACCTCCTTGCCCTTGGTGCTGAAACTAACTCCGGTGAACTGTGACCAACTCTTCCAGCCCGCTCTCCAAACACATCCACACCCACGTTCAGGCTGCCATCACAGATTTCAGTTACCCCAAAATGCCAACTGAGAATACTTAAGTACACCATTTCCAGTTTATTACAACTATTTTTACAAGCAAATGCATTAGGTGGCCTTCAGAGATGATGACCAGATTCTTAATGTTTTGAATCAAAGACTAGAGCTACTAATGCAAGGCCAAATCACATGTCTTCCCTCAGCTATCAGGAGCCCACACTGCTATCTGGCTTGTCTGTATAATAGAAAGTGCTTCAGAGTAGGCTAAATAGCAGAGACTAAAAGGGTGGTCTTGCCTTACACATCTTTGCAATAGAAAGCAGTGCTACTGTGACCATGACAGACTTCTAGATTAATTCCTTGTGGGAGAGGCTTTTGCTGTTTAAGCCAAATTCAATGTACTTGCAGAATAGGTACCTAGAAAGATGTCAAAAAGCATATTTCTTTCTCTCTCTTGAGGTTATAATGTCATCAGCTCATATTTTATATTTAGTTTAATAATTTCCTTGTCCATGAGGAAAAAAATGACCCCACAGGTTTTTAATACCCTAATACTTTGGTGGTCAGATGTCTTGATTCTTTAGAAGGTTTACCTGTCTGGAGAGCTTTCTTTAAAGCATGCAGGAGCATCACAGTGCTCCTTGGTTTAAAGTATCTAAAAGCTTTTCAGCAGAATCCAATAGAAAACATACATATTTATGTTGGAGAAGACAGGTCAAGAAAAAATGTGCATTCCAGCTGAAATGAGAGGTTACAAGATTAATGACAGACTCCTTTGGGGAGAGATATTAATTTTAGTCTTGGACTAGAGTCTTGCAAAATTTGATGTGTTGCACTCTTGTTACAGAGTACTACTGCACTAGAAGAGCTCAGTTCTCTACCATCACCTTCCTCCCTCCAGTTTCAGGCAGTCTTTAGTTACACTGGGCCCAGGGTTAGCCAGAATTTGAAGGTCTGGGTGGAAAACTTTAAACTAATTAGATATTCTAGGGAGCAGATGGGCAAGTTATGATGACCTGCACAGTCCCTGTGGCTGAGGAGATGCATCACAATGCTGCAGTGTCTGAAGGTTCAAGTGTAAAACCTTGTCCTTACCAGGTAAGCAGTGATAAATGTGTGAAAGACTAATCTAATTTACCTCTTCTAGAACCACAAGGGAAAAAATCCCAAACAAACAGAGAAGTAGACAGGTTAAAACAACTGATACACAAATAATAGGATATTATTCATATGCGGGTCTAAAAATACACCACGTATAGTCAGACTCAATTTTAGTTCAAAGGTTTTCTGTTTAAAAGAGATTAATAGCTGTGTTCGCAGTTACTAATTAAATGTTGAAAAACTCTCCAACCACATTTTTCACACTTTGTATGAAAATGTGTTCATTATGAAATCCAGAAGCATATGCTTAATCATTGGGAAATGAGACAGCGCATGTATTTCCCAACATTAATTTCATTTCAAGAACAAATATAGAACATTCTGTATTGTCATTCCTTTTCTAACAACAGCTAAAATTAGCTTATAAGTTTACCCATTACACAAAGCACATTAAATGAGAGGTATGGAAAGTACTTGATAACTCATTAATCTAAATTGAAGGGCCCGAGAGCAAAGTCCCTGATCTAGACAGCTGGGCTATACAGGAGATATCTGCAGCCATTAGCACTGTTTTCACTACCAGAACACTAAAGCATCACACACTGTTAGAGCAGCCTTTTAAGGAACTCAGGTCAGTAACACAAAAGCAATGGGTGCTGGTCACTGGGCAACACCTTTTCAAAATACACCAAAATCTTCCAGTTCATGCACTTTCCTGCTACAATCTAGACCACTTCCAGGCAGGGAGTTTGGTTCTCCTCTTCCATGAACCAAAGTGACATGTTCAGCTGGATGTTTCATGTGAAGAACAGTTCTGCTAGGAAGCCAGATGGAGCATTTCCTTTAGCCTGTGGGGAAGGTGGGTGAGGTCACTGCCTCTGTTGACTTCTGTGCCATTTTCTTCGATCTAATTAGAAAGAGCCAGGTTCCAGTTCTGTAAGCCTGCCTGCAGCTCTCCTTCACTGTGTGTGCACCCCTGCTATGAGTGAAGCAGATTGCATGCTCTGCAAAACTCAGCATGGAACTTCCCAAAAGATGGGGCCAGTTAAGCCTGGGAAGACTTTTTGGCTTTTCTTCCAGCACCAATTATAATATTGGAAAAAGAAAAACCCTCAATTGAAATATATATGTATCTGGATAGCCAAGTCTACTGCAATCCCATTCAAGGGCCATTACTGGTGAAAATTTGAATTTTAGGCATGCAAGTCAAAGTTTCAGTAAAAAAGGTAGAGATACAAGCACCTGGGAGCACAGCAAAGTGCTTTCTCTTTTGCTAATACAGTAACTCAATGAGTTTTAAATGGTATCTCCACATAGCTAATAAATAACTGGGATCTTTCTTTACACCGTAACGGGAACACACCTGGATATACCTGCTGGTTAAATAAAGTTGCAGACAACTGTATTTTCCTAAGTTGGTGATGTTTTCCATCTGGTGTCAGAGACTGGATTTACTCTGAAAATCCAGCAGACTCATATGCAAAATGTGAAAGTGTTGTGGAAATAAAGAACTATCCCAAACACCAAAATTCCATTGCAGTATCTCAACTTTCAAAAAACACAGTCAACTTAAACCCTATATTTTTATGTTTCATCTGCTTTGTTTAAAAGGAATACTCTGACTGCCATAACTATTAAAAAGAAAGGGTAAAAACATATTCACTGACTACATTGTATAGTCATAGTCACTGGTTACAATTATAATCAACTTTCATGGGAGACTGAGATAGGAAAGAAAATAAAAATTAGAAGAAATGTGACAATCTGGATTTTGCCAAGTAGAATTATAGAGATCAGAAGAATTTCAAGTTAGCTGTAGTCTCCACAGCTATTTAATTCTTCTTTTGTACTGTAATTCCATTGATAATCTTTTAAGAAACTGTATTAAATAATATTTTCTGGCTGCAATAACTTCAGATTTTTCTGAATGGAGAATTCTGAAGACAAAATTTGAAGCAAGACAAAAACAAAAAAGAGAGACGTTCTGGCTCAGGTATTTAATTAGCTCACAATAACCTTATGTGTTTATAACTAATCTGTCCAACTGTATCAAAGTTTTCTGGAAATTTTATACTATAGCTGTGCATTCATGCAGAATAAAGATCCTTTTTCTTTCACTGTCATGGCAGTTAAGTCTCAATTGAAATCGGTTTTGAGGAACAGACAACCCTATTAATCCTAGCTATTTTAATCTGGTGACTGATGAAAAGGTTCAAGAAAAGCGATGGTTGTTAGTCAATCAAACAATTTTAAACTGAACTTCGAATACACATTAAGGGAGGAAAATTTTTGTGCACCAGAATACACTTTATGCCTAATAAATATTAAAGGTGTTGGCAATACTTCCACTTTCCCTTTTTCCCCAGGCAGGTGAAAAAGTAAACATGAGCAACTCTTTGAAGAAACTGCTGATGTATGATAGGTTTACAAAGCAGAGCACTGGACAAATTCCTTATTGAATGCTTTCAACATGAGCAGTTGCTGCCTCATGCCTAATGTAAACTGAAAGTTTACAACTGAAGGCAACTTTCTGGTGAGAAAAACATCCTTCAGCTACACCATCCAATTCAAGCATGAAAGAAAAGTAGTGCTGCTGATGTAAGCAGCATCTCACAGTAATAGATGGAGATAATCCATCTGTACTCTCCCCCTCCTTAGAATCATGGAATACTTTGGATTAGAAAAAACCTCTAAGATCATCAAGTCCAACCATTAACTGAGCACTGCCAAGTCCACCACTAAATTATGACTCTAGGTATCACAGCTGCACATTTTTTTGAACACTTTTAGGGACAGTGATTCCACCGCTTCCCTGGGTAGCCTGTTCTAATGCTTGATCACCCTTTCAGAGAAAATTTTTTCCTGATATCCAATCTAAACCTCCCCCGATGCAACCTGGGGCCACTTCCCCTTATGCTATTGCACGTAATGTGGTTCATCAGCTTCCTCAGAGGTGTTTTCAGCATGCTCAGGACTTCCTCTCTCGTTTTCAGTCTCACTCAGTCTCACCCAGGATACAGAATACCTTGTCTCTCTGCTGACTGCAGAATGAAGAAGAAGTGGCAGCTTCCAAAGACTCTCTCTGGGAAGAAGGGAGGTTGCAGGGGATTGGCTTCAGGGGAAAACAGACAGAAGGGAGTAGGAATTTACCCATCCCTTTCATTGAAGACACGTATTTACCCTTTGCTAAAGGTCTGTGAAACAGTGTAACCTCTTTCCCAGTTGGAAGATCACACTCTAAGGTTGTTTCTTCTGGTCTACATCTACGTCATCTCTTTCTGAAAGTGGACTTAACTAAAGTAATCCCTACCTTTGTCATCTCAGTAATCACGCTTCAAACCAACTCAGAATAAGCTGATATTCCTGCAACAGCAGCACTTGGGTAAGTTTAAGCTATCAATTTCTATTTGAAAAGCCTTCTACTCACATATGGCAATACAGAGTTTTTTCTTAGTTTTTCATAAATAGAAGAGAGTTACTTTGAAACAGAGGCTCATGGAAACTAAATAACCATTCCCTTCATTTAATTAAAGCACTAATACTTGAGCTTATATACTTATATAAAAACTCTGAAAAAATAACAGAGTTCATGGGATATATGAAAATGTTTTTGTAAAGAAAAATCTACTTCATACCTGAAGTACTGTTTCATCTCCAGCTGCTTTCAAGTCGTCTTCCTTCCCAATGATTTTCTGTAGCTGTATTTGTTGAGAAAAGAACAAGAAAATTACAAATGTGATCTTACAAGAGTCTTCTTTTTCAGAAACGTGCTTTAATTGCACCTTGTCTTAATTATACATTTCTGCAAGGTTCTCTACTCATGACAAAATATTTGCAAATCTTTAAGGATATCCTGCTATTCAGACACACTTTTTCCCAGGAATGTCTTATCTACCATGGTTAATATAGCCAAGCAGAACATGAATCTAGCTCTTGCAATCCAGTGCTTACTCTATTTTTAGAGGAGATTTTCTAGCACCAGAAGCTTAGCATTCACTTTGTAAGATTTTGAAACTCAAGGGTATAACATCAAGGATAATTTAGGAAATAAAAATTATTCCAGTTTTCATGCTGTCCTTCTAGATAGCTTTACATAGTTCTGCTACAGACATGATCTTCTACACATGAAAAACATATGTGTCCAAATGAAGTACTATATAACCAACAAAGAATAATTTCATTAAATAAGAAAACATTTTTTTTTCCCAGAATTTGCACTAGGCAGAATGTGTTTTGAGTTTCCCCTCCACCCCAGGAATAAATTAATCTTGAATGTATTAGCAAAGAAGATATTTAGAATTACTGAAATGAGTCACATCTAAAAACATAACTTGTCCCAATAGAGTTTTAAGGTAATATAGAAAGTGCATTAATTTGCAGTACTTCCAGTATATCTGAGCTGCAAGGTTTCTTTGAATATGTTTCAGCTTGGAAGGTCAACACTGCCACAAGAACAAGTGATTTAAGACAGCACAAAGTATACCTACCTTTCAGACACTTGAATGAATCCTCAAAAGGACAGCAAAAATGAAAGAACAAGGGAATTAATAAATTTCAGGTATAGATATGGACTTACACCTATCGCTATGGATTTCGAGGCTTAAGGAAAGATGTGTTTAAAGCTCAGGGTTTTCAAAGCTGCTGGTTTGCTTCTCAAACATTTCTGAGTGATTCCTCACCCTGCCCACTAAAACTGGGAAAAAATCCATTGCCAAATTTGCATAGCTATATAGCCATTATTTTGAAATGTTTTCAAATCTCTCCTTAGGGCTTGTTTTTCATTTGTTTGTTTGCTTGGTGTTGTGGGGATTTTGTTTGTTTTGGTTGTGTTTTGTTCTGTGGTGTTGTTCAGAGAAGCAATACAGACTTGTGAATACTGTGTAAGAAAAAAACCACTAACTGTTCATGTTGCCAAAGGTCTTCCCTTGACCTTCAGATTTTGACTAATTTTTTTTCTTTTTTTTAATAACCTCAGCTTTTTAGTTTCTCAGGATAGTTACTTTCTAAGTTTTGAATGCCATGTCTTGATAGTATCTATCAAAAGAAATACTGTAAACAAGGCAACTAAACAGTACTTGTTCTTCCAAATTTCTCCAATTTTTTTTTTTTGATAACTTACAAAACAATTGACTAGTACAGTAAAAATATTATTAATTTCTTCATAGCAAAATAGTATTACAGAGCTCTGGAGAAAAACACAACTGCTTGTCAATATGCTCATTGAAAGATCACCTTTTTTCTTACCTGAAAAATTAATCTTTTGCTCACACTTAAGAAATAAAACTGCAAATACTTTCCAAACCACAGAAAATATGATCTTCCTCTTTTGGATTTTATTTTTAAAGGAGCTCCTAAAAAAATCTGCAGAGACTACTTAAGAGCACAGAAACCCAGTGTAATTTTTTTCACAAGCATTCTAAAAGATTTAGTTTATTGTTTTCTTACACTGTATGTAAATCCTTATAGTGCTTGAAACTATTTCCAGAAGTTTTTTTCCAGCCCAGTACAGCAACTACTCATGGAGGGAGAAGAATTGTGCCTCAAGAAATAGACTCCTTCATGTAACATTTATTGTATTTAATATTTATATCTGTTTATCACTCAATGGCTAATACCTGTTTATCACTAATGGCTAATTTAAAGATAATGAGACCTATTATGCACAACTGAAGCTAAAGACATACAAGAAGTAATCTGTTCTGAACAAGACAACATCTGGCAGAAGGGCTATGTCAGTCTTATAAAAGGAGGTGATTTTGCATCTTCCAGTTGTTTGAGAGAGATCAGTGCTTGTGATGCTCTAGGACTATAGAAGCGCTCTGTACCAAACCACCATGGAGCTCTACAAGTTTTTTGTGGTACCTGTGCTCCAGGACAAGCATGTAAGACAGTCTATTTAGAAAGTTTAAATCACATAGTCTTGCACGTGCCATCAGAACCACTCTACCTCCATTCCCAACAGTTTTGAACTGTCATTAAATTTACTGAGACATCTTTAATCAGGACAGAGTTAGGGAAATTCCTTACTTGCTGGGGATTTTGGGAACTCTGGTAGCCTTATTCTTGGTGGGAGGTCTCAGATTAATGTGCATGGGTTATTATGTGTCTGGAAATCCCCCTCACTGAATGTCTTGAAGTGAGGAGTTCACGGAAGTATCTTACTGTCCTCACAAAGATACAGATAATATGGCTCTGAGAAATGATTCTACCCTCTGGTAGGGACTGATGAAAGGATGGCAACCAGCATCTGTGAACATGCCACTTCTACCTTGTCTTCTTCACCCTTGAGTTGCAGGGCAAAGCACAAAACATTGTGGGCCCTAACACTGCAATGTCTCTTGTGACTGTGTACCACTGTAATGTGAATGAAGCAGAAAGACACTGGCTTGAAGACAAAGAAATAGGGAGGAGAGAGAATAAGGGTGTCCCTGTGAAGGGAGAGACTTTTAGTGGAAATGAGGAGAATGTGCTCAGAAATGGAAAGGCTATGGAGGAGATAAACTCTTATTGAAAACATGGGATTGCATTCAAGATCTCCTTTCCTGAACATCCATTTATGTTAGCAAAGAGCACTGGGAAATTCTGCATCTCACACTCCTTCAGTGTGTGATCCACACAGGTTGGAACAGTCTATATCCATCATGTACTGCAGGCACTAAGGACTTGGGTTTAGTTTTTGCTTGTCACCTTTCTCAACTTTCCTGAATGATCCACTTGACATACCTTGTGCCTGTCCATCCAGTAACATGTGAGAATTGAGACATACACAATTCAAAGAAAGGTGGACATTTTGCAAACAAAAAGGCATGTTCTTATATCAAAGAATTTAAATTTACAGTCTAGGTCAATAGATAACATAGGCATACATAGATGTCTAATTAGTAGATAATGGAGGGGAAGTTGGGAGAAGAGGTCACAAAGCATGAGAATGAAGCAGCACTGAAATTTCTTTTCCCGTTGTATCCTGTTTACAGACACTGAGTCCTAATTACCGCTTCTTCAATATGCTTTTCCACTGCCCTTTCCTTACATATGTTTCCTGACATTATTGTCAAATATAGTGTCAAAATAACTATAGAATAGTTCAGATGTATTTTCCTAAGATGCCAACTGGGACAAGACAAATGACAGAATAGCCACATAATTTACTAATTTATTAGCTACCCAGAAACCTTCTGTGATGCATGCAGAAAGAGAGTATATAGGTTAACACACAGACATGTTTCCAGATTCTCACATTCCGAAAGTTTTATTTTTAAACCTACTCTGTAAAATTAAAATTTTGCTTGAAAGTAGTCACCTCTATAAATGCTATGTAAATGGTCACAAGAGAAAACTCATCTTCTGACTAACTTGCATCCTGTGGGACGTTGAATTTAATGATACTTGCAAGTTGACAGAGTAATTTATATGGGTTATTTTTTAACAATCCATATTAATTTATCAGTCCAGTTCATAAAGGAAATGCAAAGTAACAATCTATCTAACCAGAATAATTTTCATTTAACCTGATTGCTGCCACAGAAATCAAATTATTTTCAATGATTTGTATGATGTTTTCACCTCTACATTTGATGACTTTCTGTTGTTCACACTGGCTGATTCAATTAGAATTACCCGAAATGGATAATGGACATTAAATAAATGACATACTGCACATCCCCCCAAGAGAGCTGTGCAGTGTTTCTGCAAGAATCTCCTCATTTGTTTAACTGACACAGTACCTATTTAAAGGGAGCACTGCTAACATGGCATTTTGGTGCAGAGGCACTACAAGCTGAACATGTTCACTCGTGTTCATGGAGTTACTTTCCCCTGTAACATATTGTTTTGTAGATGAATAATACAGCCATAACATACATGTTTTGGTGATCAGGGCACTGCTAGCCTAATAACAATTTGTTACGATTGCACCAGGTTTAGTAGGTTAAAAATACAAGCTTTTCTAGAATTTTTTTTTTAATAGCAGAATAACTAACATTTTAACAGAGCAAATGCTTCAAAATGAAAATATTTTGTGTAGCAACAAATGAGTGTAGGGTTGTGCTGGTTTTGGCTGGGGTAGGGCTAATTTTCTTCACAGTGGTTGCTGTGGGACTGTGTTTTGGATTTGTGCTGAAACACAGGGGTTGATAATATAGAGATGATTTTGTTATGGCTGAGCAGGGCTTCCACAAAGCCAAGCCCTTTTCTGCTTTTCCTACTGCCACGCTGGTGAGGAAGCTGGGGGTACATGGGAGGCTGGGGGGAGACACAGCTGGGACAGGTGACTCCAACTGACCAAAGCGATATTCCAGACCATATGACATCATGCTCAGTATATAAAGTGGGGAGAGGAAGGAGGAAGGAGGGGACATTTGGAATGATGGCATTTGTCTTCCTAAGTCACCGTTATGCTTGATGGAGCCCTGCTCTCCTGGAGATGGCCGAACACCTGCCTGCCCATGGGAAACACTGAACTAATTACTTGTTTTGTTTTGCTTCTATGTGTGGCTTTTTCTTTCTCTATTAAAATGTCTTTATCTAAATCCATGAGTTTTCTGGCTTTTGCCTTTCTGATTCTCTCCCCGATCCTGCTCGTGGGGGAGTGAAGGAAAGGCTCTGTGGGCCTTGGTTGCTGGCTGGGGTTAACCCATGACAAGTGTACCTGCAGGCTCAGTTAGGGGCTTCTGGGAACATTGCCTTGGAAAATGATCTAATTTCAAGCATTATTTTCTAACAGTACTACTAAGTCTAAAAGTATTTTTACAACATTTTATAAAATCTTTAAAGCATGACTCATCTGAATTCTATGATTCATCAATCAACCTTGCTAAGAGGCAATTCACTGAAAAAATGGTGATCAGTGCAAAACACATGCCAGCAGCTATTGTATCATTAATTCAGAGTTTAAGGCTATGAAAGTACACTTACATAAGTTTTTGCCAATTTCTCTGTCAACAGGTGCATCTCTGAAAGTTTTAGATTCTATGGTTCTCTAGAGTTGTGCATTAATGGTCAACTTTAACTGTATTCTGGTGACAGAAAATAATTTGAATTGTAGTAGCCATGTCAGCTTCTTATAAAACTGTCTGTCCAGTTACCTCCCATATTAATGAAGGATCTGAATTAAGCTGAGGGAGTCTATTAAAAATTATGTTTGTTAATTCTGCATTCAACTTTTGACAAGAAGTACTTAGTTAACAGTCTTCTGTTAAATATTTAAAAGTTGAATAAGCTAAGCAATTAAGCCTATTCTTCTTTAAAAGAACAGAGCAAAGTTTTCTTTGGTTTTTAAGCATCTGCCTTTCTCCCTCATAGTTCATATAAAACATGGGAAAACGCCTATCCTTCTGCAGCACTAAACAAAATTAATAAAAAACAAGGGAGGATGATGTATTAAAGAAATTATTCAACATATTTAGAAAATAAAAGACTCTTCCAGATGATTATTTAAATTAGCTTATGGGATTAAGGGATGTACACCAAACTTCCTAGTAGCAGATTTTTAGATACAACTCAAAGGCAACATTTATAAAAGTGGATTCAAATTCAAGTACTTCTGTAGCAATACTTTGGTATGTGCTTCTTGCATACAAAATATTTTAGTAAGTATGTGAACACAGATTGGACTGAAAAATAGGCTTTATGATTTTAATGAATCTTCATTTAGCAAATGACAACCCATGGATCTATTTAAATCCTTTCAAATTAATATGCATATAAATACACCTACCTTAAAGAATTCTTTCTTTTCAACTCGCTCATTGCCATCTGTATCCAACATTTTAAAGGCAATCTGAAGTCCAGTCTGGGGTTCTGCAATGAATTGCAAAATAACTTTACTGAAAATATACACACAGATGCTTAAACTAGCACTTAAATAATGATTACAAAATAAATAATGACTGCAAAATGAATATTGTCTATGGTTCAGTTCTCCACTGTTACAAAAATGCATGGTATTTCCAGTGAACCACACATACCTCTTCCAATATAAGCAAACTTTTTAAACACCTTCTTACTATAATTTCAAGGGACAATTAATGCAATGAGAAAGTAAGAAATGCCAGCACTGCCCAAGTACAGCCATGAATGTCCATCTTATCTCCACAACAATATTGCATCTCTTACTGTTCTGGTCTTAAGATACTCTCCATGGATGTCTCCATGATCCCACGTCACTTTTGCAGTCTAGCTCCTTTTCAGGTTAGATGGGTGGAAATTGCCTTCAGAAACCAATAATTATTCCCAAACTGGGTGAAAGAGCTAGAGTACTCCTCAGGTACTTCTTGCATGGGTGACTGTATGTCAGTATTTGCAGTCCTCCCCAGCAGACAGACTGATGCTGTAACGGTGGCCAGCTCTCTCAGCTCCTGCTCCTGCTGTGGTTAGCCCCAGGCCTTTTTTTCCTTCCCTTCTCCTTCTTCCCTAAACAATGTACTCAAATATTACTGAGATGTAATAAACTACTCTTTCCAGTCTTTTTTGACAAAAGCATGTTTTGTATGACTCCCATCAAGCTGATTTTTCTCAGGAATTTTACACAATTTCATCCTGTATTTCCTTCGCTGAGTGGATGTTTTTTTTCAACACAAAAATGTAATGAGCTCTGAATCTTGCTATAAAAACACGGTGTGTTTTGAGCTCCTTCCCATGATTTCCTGGTCTTGCTTTGCTTACAGGAGGTGGCCTCGTCTCATTAGCGAGCCCACACAGGAGCAGCATGCTCCTGAAAATGTACTTACAGTTCATTGCAGTAGCAAGCCCTTATCCCAGTAATTTCTGGAGCAGATGAATTAATCCATAATCCACTCAATTCAGGCATTAATATGAAAGCCATGAATTTATCATCTCTGGAATATATTCACGTTTCCAAGAACAGTGTTGGACCTATGAGGGCAGTGAAGCAATACCTAAAAAGCTCCAATGCTTTCAGAATTTTCCTTCTGAAAATATGTTCTTCTAGTTCCATTCTGAAAATTTTTAAGTCTTGCCTTTTATTTTTTTTTTAAAGAATCTTTCTGCAAAAGGAAGAAGCTGAAGGAATATCCCAATCCTTTTAAGTCATAACAAGATCGTTAAAGAAAGTACAATTTTTACATTTTAAAAATAACTGCATCTTTCAGCAGTCAACTAACATTCTACGTGAAGCAATCTTGTGATGCAGGGATATTTTATAAATACCATTGCAATATGCACAGCAGAGCCCTTCCCAGTAATTGGGTTGTAATAATCAAAACTGGCTTCCTTTCCATGGAAGTGGCACATGCTAAATTTGTGTTACTAGTACAAAAGCAAGAAAAGGCTATCCTATAACATATTTAGAGAATAAAAGTAATTGATGTATTTAATAGTAATTCATACCATCTGTGTTCCAATTTTCAGATAAGAGAGCTGTTACTGAAAATACAGGACCTAAAGCTGCTTATACAGAGCTGACATACTTATCTGATATGATGTAACCCCAAAGGTATGTGTTCGTAAAATAAGCATAGTTCAAAGACTACCATAGATATATTTGTATTTAATTAGAATCAGGCAAAAATCCAAAATCTGAACAGAAGAGCTTCATCTTGGTTGTGAGTGCAGGTGAGACCAAGGTGCTTCCTATCCAACTACTCCTATGTTGACCAAGCTGTCAATTTGTGTGACTGGCTAATTGAAATGAAGCTTTGAGTAAAGGTGACAACTTCAATTCCTGGACTTCTTTACCAGGCAGGGCTCCATTAACCTATTGCTAGAAATGAAATTCAATACAGCACTGGAAGAAAAAAAGATAGTGATGATACAAGGCACACAGAGAAGAGAAAAGAAGGTCACAGGGGCAAAAAAATAAAACCTTTGTCTGACACAAAATTACGTTTTTAAGTTCAGTGTTGTTACAGACACTGCTTTTGCACAACAGGCAGCATGCTCTGGTCAGCAGGGTCCTGGAACCAGGAGTCTGGTGACTCTTTTTGTGTTTCCCAATTTTTCTGTTGGTGACTTTGAATAAGTAATTTAGATATTAATGCCTCCTTTAAGAAATCTCATATTAATTCTCAGTAGTGAGAGAGACAGGTTGTGTAACTTGGAGCAGACTGGCATGGGATACTTGTTAGGCAAAGATAGAGGCACTAACACTTGTTGACATTTGCTTTCAAAATGATCGGTATGATAACCCTCTGTGTAACCAAAGCAGCAACATTAGCACTGCATTTTTATCCTGCATCAAAAGGTGCCTTTGTTTCTGCAGTTCAATACATTCTTATAGAAATTCTGTGAAAAATAATGTTACCTGATTGTTTGGAGAAGTGGAACAACTTGCTCTGATACTGCTTCAATTTTCTAATTGTTTCAGCCAATAATTCAGCATGAACTCACAGCTGCCATAAATTTTTAAAGAAATAGAATCTTTGGCACCTATTACTGCAACTTTAAGGTATTCTTCTGAAGTTATAATTTGTCTGTCATAGTTGTCCTTTTTTAACATAAATCCTTCATTTTTGACTTGCAAAAAATATATTAAAATCAGTATTCTAATTGGGCTAAACTCCTATTTCTGATTTTAAACCCACTTTTAAAACACATGGTATAACTCAGGTTCAAGCAGCATGTAGCATGGGACAGTCACCACTGCTGAAGCAGTGTATTTGTCTGTTAAATAGGTTATCTTAATGTGTGTATATATATATATATGTATAATTTATTACTGTGTACTAGCTGAAGTTCCCTAAGAGATTACCCCCCCTTGATGCCGTGTAGTAAGAGCTAATGTAGAAATGCGGTAAGCTGCTAGAAATGTGGTGAGCTGCAAAAGGGCTACCTAAACCGTGCAAGAGGTGTATAGTGATGGTTACTATGAGGAAGGCTGGACACACTCTCTCCACTCTCTGGAGACCAACATTTGTTATTTGTTCATACTACACAATGAGAAAGCGCATTTCCAGTGCAATGAAAGTTTGTCAATTTGTTTAAGCCTCAGCCATGGAAGTGAGGAGGGGCAAGCATCTACAGTCCATCAGGCAAAAGTGACTGCTTCCTTCTGTCCTTTCCCCATCCACTGATATCACAAATTTAGTATGCCTCACTTTGTCCCTTGCTGAAAATGTTAGACCCATGTAAGTCAGACAAACAAGACTGCACATGTGGACTATTCTGTGGACATGCACATGAACTACTTCACAGCTAGCCTGTGGGTCTCATTGTGTGATGTTCATTGCACATGTCTCCCATCTTGGCATTTTCCAGCATTGCCTACACTTCATCAGAACAAAATGGAGGGTGGCAAGCACGGCACAGAGTAAGTAGCGGTGAGGAAATCTAGAAAATCCGAGATCACTTGCATGTCCAACAAAAAATGCCTACTGTTTGTAGATAGACCAAAAGGTCTGACAGAGAAAAAGGAAGGAAGCAAAGAAGGGAGAGCAGAAATACATGTAAAATACTTGGAGAAAATAAAAGGAACAGAGGATAAAAAAAGGATTAAAAGAGCCAAACATAAAGACTCTGTAGAATTCTGCTGGTTATGTATTGTATCCATTGTATATCTGAACACAAGAATAACAGGGAACAACCTTTGAGATGCCACAACAGCTTTTTATTCCACCGCATGAGCTACAATGTTAATGTCTCATTTCCAAAATGACTAAAACTACTATCCAGAAGACAAATTATTTATCTTTTCTTCCTATTCCTCCTCCTCTTATTATGTGGTTCTGTAACCAATGCCTGTCTTCTCCCAAAGTCTTTTGAAAAGCTTTTCTGATCCCATGGTGCAGGGATTACCATGACTTTTGAAATATTGCTATGGACCAACGATGCCACTACAGCATTAAGTTCCAATCAATTAAAGTTATACCTATTTATATTAATGCATTATCACTCTTTATATAGTGTTTTTTTACATTTTACTATAATGCAGAAATTTAGCAGCTAAAAATTTCAGGGAAAAGTTCCTGGAAAGTTGTCAGTAGCTGAGTATTTATGCCAATGTATTTTAAATATACAATACTTACTCGTAAGGATCGTCAGCAAAAATAGGTACTCTACATAAGATATCAACCCTGAAATGAAAGAGTTAAAAAATTACTTGCAGAAAACCCCCCCAAAAACTCATAGAAAGACTTGAAACATCACATCGTATAAATGATAAAAACTGTAGTTTGACATAGCATTAAATAAATTTATTAAAGTAAGCCACTTTATTATTTAATAAAGTTTTTACTTCTGTATTTAGTGCTCTGAAGGTAAAATTCCCTAGCCAGAGACTCATCAATGTTCAAGTCTAATCCAGAAAGTTAGGTTTATTTGGTATTAACAAAAGGCCTACACTAAATCTTTGGATTCTCCCTGAAAACATCCAATGTTTATATAAAAGGCAAATAAATTAAATGTGCTTTGTCACATTTAGTACCTGGGAGGAGAACTACTCTAACATTACCCTGAAGGATCAAAGTCCTCCATCCTTTGGCAGGCTCGCAAAGGCGGAGAAAAGCTTCCCTCTAATTCTCAAGGGGAACGCGGCAACACGCAAAGCTGCCAAGCTGCTAGATTGTGCTGATAGTACTGCTGGGCTGAGCGCCAAGAGGAGGTTTCTTTTTTTTTTTTTTTAAATAGGAACATGTCCTTTCTACAAGGTGAAAGTATTTCCCCCCCCTCTTGAAGGAAAATTCCAGTGTTTTCTTTTGAAATACCACCTTAAGTGAAAAGCCTGAACAAACACAAAGATGTGATAGTGTCAAAATGGAGTGTACAAGCTAAAGATAGAGAGCGCATAATGAGGGTGGTTAAACAAGAGAATTTGAACCATCTGCCCCGCAATAATGTTTGGAGAAAAAATGTAAAGGGCTTTTTTATAAATCACTTTTCAAAATAACTGAGCTACTTTTAACTTGTGAGTGAAACACTGTATAATGCTGAAGCTGCTTAAAATAATGAAGTTCAAACATGCCTATCTGTGCAAAGATAAACTATTTTTATAATTAATATTTAGTTAATTGATAGATAAGGAATACACTTAAGCTTCCGTGATAAGCAATTAACTTCTGATAAATTACTATGCACAGACAGCAGCATTTGTATTTGACCTCAGATAGTGACTTATCACTTTTAAGTACCAGTTCAGAAATACGAAATTGGTAAACGCAAGAGTCTGAAAATTGGAGAACAAATCTTAGCTAAAGGGAGGTCTAATGTTGACCCTGTTGCCAACTCAGTCTGGTTCCGTATCTCAGCTTTCCTCTCCATCAAAATGGGGCTATTCACCCTATTATCCAACATGCATCATGTGTAAATCAGCACAGTACTACAATAATAAAAACAATATGGAGATAAAAACCACTTTCACCTCAAAAACTTAATTTTGCTTACAAGTTCCAGCATTTCTGCCATTGCAAGAACACAAATTATTATTTGCATTGCTGTAAAACTTGGAGTTGTGTTCCCAGATAAAACATGTAGGTTTTCTACAAATTCAAAACCAAATAAACAGAGAAAGAACTCCTACCCCAAATTTTTAGCTTATACGCTTAAGTATAAGACAAGATAAAAAAAGAAAAGAAACAAAGAGGGAGTGATAAGAAATCAAGCCATTAGTGTGATGGGCAGTGATCAAGATTCCTAATTTTGTTTTGTGTGTGACACAGCAAAAGAATATTTGAGGAAAGAATTCATAAAGGAAGTCAATAAAGCAAGTCAATGAGGCAACTTGACAGGTCAGTACAGAAAACACCTCCCAGTCATGGACTGCAGTGGTGTCAGCACTAAGATCCCTGACTGAAAATTTAACCACCAAATAATGAAGGAGAGCATCACTGGTTGAGGAGAAGTGGGAATGACTCTCAGCTGTCTTGAGGTGTGCTGCACAGGGACAGTCTAAGGAAGGCCCAGAAACTGAAGACAAACAGCTTACGCTAGATAAAACAGAACAATGAGAGCCCAGTGTTGGGATACAAAATAAGAGACCATACACTCAAAGGAATTGTGAAAGAAAAACATATTTATCAAAGCATTTGAAAGGATATTAACATGGTAGATTACATTTGCTAAAGTCATAGAAAAAAAAATGTTGTGGTAATTGAGATAAAAAATTCTGAGCCCTTGGAGAGTTTTAGCTATATAGCTAGACAAGGATCATTATAAAATTTTGCAGAAAGAATCTGCAAAATTTTTACAAAGATGGTAGGATGTGAAGAAAAGATCAATCTAAAGACAACACCCTGCTCATTGGCTCAAGGGAAAAGCATTTGAATTGCAGAGATCTGGAAAGAGGACGCTTGAAATGTCACTATAGTCAAATTGGTAAAAAGGTAAATATAATAAAAATATATAAAAATATTCTTTAAAACCTGACTCAGTGCTTTAAAGCAAATTCACAGTCTGCTTGATACTTTCTGGAAAACTGATTATACTAAAATCATTTGTAATACATTTTTTTTAACTTGTGGACTAATTTCCATTAAAAATCTTATTTTAATTTTATTGTCCTTTTACTACTTTAGTGAATGGCCAATTTACCTCATTCATCAAGTAAATGAAATGTTTTGGCAATTTTCTTTTTAATTCTACAGTAATCATTACAAAGTTACTCTAATTAAAATACATAATGTGGCAAATTTAAAAGAAAAAAACGAAATAAAACAGCCCATTGAAAATTATATTCCTATCCAAGTAAAATTTAAAAGACAAAAGCCTCACATACTGTTGAATGACTCAGCATACTTGCAGCCAAGTATTTGCAGTTAGCATTGGCAAAGTACTGTCACTTTCTACTGCTAAAGGAACTCTCTCTGTCCCTCCCTAGAAATCTGTATCCTCAAACTTTATAGCAAATGCTGACAGTACAATATTCTTAGTGCTGAATAAATCACAAAACCTACAAAACATGACACAAATTTTAAAACTGCCCACTAGAAGGCAGAATTTCCTAGCATTATGTTTTACAAACTGGACTGATGACAGTTTTTCCTCTCCTTGACATTTAAATAACAATTTGAATGTAGTGAAAATAACCTCAGCTAAACAGTGGGACGGGGTAGATTCATTATTCTGGTACTTGTAAAAGCATAAATGTTTCACTTTTTAAACTGTGATAATAATTCATCTCAAAGCAAAAGCATCAAAGTCACTAAACCGACACCATGATCAAAAACTGTAAAAATTCTATGGGTTGTGGGGACATATGGATGACTGCACTGAATGTTCCTGCATCATCTCAAACTCCAATGTGACCTTTGAAGGACAGAATATACAGACACACAGTGCTAAGCACGGGGACATCTTGGCCAGAATGCTAAAGACACCAGGCTGAGCATATCACCGAGCCCACTTTGTGCCAAGCACTCAGCTGGGAGAGGTGCAATAAAAGGAGGCTGTGCTGATTTGCTATGTTTGCAATTTCTCTTGGTGGATTCCCAGTTTTCACAGGCAGTGTGCTCTGGGGTTTTGCAGTGTCCATCAGGAGAAAGAGAAAGGCTCTAAAAAAGAAGGTATAAAGAGAGAATATCCAAGAATTAAAGACTGGGAATACTTTAAACCTAATTCTGGGAAAGCATGTGATGATTAGTAATTTGAAAAGGCAGGGAATCAATTCAGTGCAAAATCCAGCCTTCCCTAGGATAGGAAAAAAATGTTCAGCTTGTTTGGAGATGGTTCAGGGTTGCTGGGGCATGCTGAGGCTTTCAGGAGTGGACTGACAAGCAAGGCATCCAGCTGGAGCCCCCTCTACGTCTGCACAAGGACGCAAGGAACAAACCACAGGCAGAAGGGGCCACGAGGCTGAAGGGTAGGTGAAATGCTGCAGGCTGAGATTGAGGGTTGCTCTCTTGGCACAAGCTGCCAGCCCTGTCTGGGGATCTGCTGTGCATGGAGAGTGTGGTTCATGCCTGCCAAAGAACTGCAGCAGTGCAAAGGCAGCTTCCAGAAATGTCCATGAGATAAGGGACTCAGGCTGAACTGTATGATACAGAAAGTCTGTGAATAGGCACTGTCAGTCTTTCTCATTAGTTTGGGGATTCTGGTCTTTGTTACTGGTGAAATGGTTAATTACTCATCTATTTGGTTTCCTTGATCCTCTTGTTTGTTTTCTCCCTTCAATTAATTTATGCTAATGAGATGTTTATTTGGTGTTCTTTAATTCCTTGTTGTTACACAAACAATATGCCAGCTCTCAGAGTTTTCCAATATAAGGTGGAAATGCTGGGTGAAAAAAACACTCAAAGCACATCAGCGCTGCAAAGGGTCACAGAGCTCCTGAAGAGGGAGAAGTAAGTTCAACTGCTCTTGGAATCAGGGATGCTGCTTTACATAATTAGATACAAATTTTATTTTTATTCTTAGTTTCCATGCATTCAAGTTACATAGTGAAACAGCAGCTTATTAACAAGTCTTAAAAGTCCATTTTGTGCTGAAGTTATCCTTTTCAGTCCCTTTCTCTTCTCCAAGTGGGCTTTTCAGTTTCTTTCATGTCTCCTCCTGCACCTCTGAAGGCTTTCAATTCCCAGCCCTGCCTCTTTAGTCTCTTGCATAACTGAGAGACTTGCCAAGGAGGCAGCTACTGGCTAGACGGGTATGAAGTCAAATCCATGAAAATGCCTTTAAAAATACATTCAGGTCATTCCATATAATGAGATAAAAAGCAAGATGTATTTTTCAGTATCGAAAGTGCTCATTACCTTTATCACCAAGGTCTCTAAAAAAGGTCGGTCCTGGTTTAGCTTTGGCAACATACAGCAGTGCAGCATCTACCTCCTTCAAAGACACAAACAAGAAAATATAAAGCCAGTTTTGAAAGAGACTTAATCACTTCAGTAACAGAAAGAATGCAAGTTCTTTTGAAGAAGGAAAGGAACATTTTGCTTACCTTTTTTGTCAGTTTCTTGGCTGAGGCTTTGCCTATAATAAAAAAAAAATCATCATTATTCAATAACAAACTGACTTTAAACTTTGATCAGGTCCTGTGGCATTTCTTCAGATTTTTATGGGAAAATGCTAAGTAATATGAAACAGAATATTTTGCAACAGGCAGTTTGTTTCTAATTCCCATAATGATCACGAAAGGACAAGATTCAAAAGCAATATGAGCAGTCTGTTCAAATGTTCTCTCAACCTAGATGAAACCACAGCCCACTTCAGTATCTACAACTGCCTTACCAGTGTAACTTTGCATACTGTGGGTTACAAATGTCGCATAGATTTCAAAGCAAGACTACACGGTAAGAAACAACTGTAGTATTTGGGGATTTGCATGCACACATCATAATCCTTGAAGTGCAGGTTGTGCTCGTGAAAGCTAAGAAATACTAAAAAAAAAGGAAAAAAGTACAAAAATGTTGATGTTTCTATTAAGCAAAAGTAAATTGAACAACTCTGCCTTCTGAAAGAGCATCAGATGAAAATCATGCAAACTCCTAAGGGTTTCTTTGTAAGTCAAGTTTATGCACTCAAATTTATACACTGGAGACACTGGCAATAGTATAGGTTGTATTCCCATGTAAATCAACTGTTTGAAGAGCTGGATGTATCATCAATGGAACATTCCAGCTGGTTAGGCAGGGATCACAGAAACCCTGTGGTCGTGGACCAGCAGGAGTTGCGCTCCATCTCTTCTCTGTCTATCTGCCCTGTCACACTGATCTGCCTCCTCAGCATTTCTCCTCATACAGTTCTCAAAACCCTGTTGTCCTTCACTCTTACCACTCTCAGCCCGTCACTCTCTTCCTACATCACCAGTTCCTCTGGATTCCAGCCAACCATTCTCTCCTATTTATTCACACTGTGTAAGCACAAGCTGAGCTGCTTGGATTTGCTCTGTGGACTGGTGCCTCTGTGTGCAGCAGCCTGGCATGCTCCACGCTCAGACTCCAAGGCTACTCTGCTGCTTCACGGGCACCGTGCATCCAAAGGGCCACCAGCACAGCACCGCTATTTGGAAACGGACGTGATGGAGGCAGCCTGGTGGGCGGCTGTCAACAAAGATTTACCGGGCATTTTCACAGGCCCATAATTTAGCCAGACAGAGGAGTATTCTCAGTAAAACAGCAAATTTCCATATAGCTGGCAAATGGCATGCCCAGCTGCAGGGGGTCTCCACTGGCAACTTTTTGCTTTGGACAAGGGAAGCTGCTGGAACATCTCAACCAGCAATAGCTCATTTTTCAGCACAAGCAAACCAGTGTGCCCTGGCCTCTGCTCTTTGAACTGGCAGTAACAGTTTTGCTAAAAAATTCCTCTCCCCACACCCCCTCCCCCAAATTCAGCCTAAGGCAGACACCTGGCACATAACATTTCAACACAAATGTTTAAGTTTGACAAAAGTTATAAGCAACTAAAATTAGGGGTTTAATACTGGAGTGTTGAGTGACCCCAGCAACAGGTGTTGCCAGTACCACCTGTTACTGTGGATGAATACATTTTTGTGCACTGCCTGTACATATATTTACACCCACACACACCCCCATATATAAAGCTACATAGGTAGATACCCTCTAACTCAAACAATGTATGAAGTCCTCTCCTTTGCCTCATTTGAGACAAAAGAAGTCAGACCAATAACAGAGCTGGAGAACAAGCAACAATCACTATATCCAGTGAGTCCTGAGCAGTGTGATGTAACACCACAGTTACATCTAACACCGTTTACTGCTGCAGAGCATTTTAAAGAATGGTTATTTAGCAAATTAACTGATTTAGATCTCAGCTTTGAAATGTTGAAATTGCTTCTGTACAGCACATTTCAATGTGGAACTAAACTACAGCTGTTTCTTTGGCTCTGGGAGACCCAGATAGTGACCAGCCTTATAGGAGGGAATGAATCAGGCTGCACTGCAAAAAACAGCATCTGAAAGAAAAATAGGAAAACATCCCTGCAAATGTTTTTCACGGTACCTGCTCTTTTTACTCACTATCTGTACTGAAGCCAGCCATACACCCTTATTTGGTTAAGGGCAGCTCCACTCATTTCATTTTCCTGGTAACCTCAAGAACATCAGATCTGGGATGGCACCAGAGCAATGTACTGGGGAGCAGCCTTTAGCCAGCATCCAGGAGGATGACAAAGGGAGACAAGCTGAACTTGGCGAGATGGAACACCGAGGTATGGATAATTGATGCAAGGTAAGGAGAAAGCACTGGGAGCTACAGCTGAGACACTAGTCGGCCAAGTTTGTGAGGCTCTACATTTAGTAAATTTGTGCTTCTCTTCTTTGTGTTGCATTCAGCACAATAACTCTAAAACTCTTCAGCTACCTGGTTACTGGGGAACAACATATTCTCAATGAGAATTACTATATCTTGATAAAAATTAAGCAACGGAAGGAAAATGTGTTGTAGACATATGGACTCTCTTTTCACCAGCCAGCAATCACAAATGCAACTGCCTAGAGCTCATACAAATGGCTGGGGCAGCCATCAACATCTGTCCTCTTACACTCAGCCAGTCACCTCCAGAGGATGTTTCAGATGCTGACGTGTCTACTGACCTCTTTTAGAAGTGAAAAGACAGTAACAACAATACAGAGGTGCTTGTGCTACTGTTGCATGGGTGAAAAGAATATGGAGGAAAGGAAGCCTTTGTTCAGTGGTAGAAGAGGGAGAGGACAGTCACATCATCCCAGGAGATGGTGAGAGGTAGAACCAGGTGGGTCAGTCGGTCCCTGCCACGACTGACTGGACAAGGGGTAGTTGCTACAATAAGGAAGGAAAAAAGTCAGGATGGGAAGGGACAGATTGAGAGATGAACAAAGACATTTCTACTTTTCAAAGCAGTAAATACATCAGAGTAATAAATGTGGAGTCTTTTAATGTTGCTCTTCTCATATGGGTTTCAAAATCAAAATATTTAATAGCCTAGTCAAATGAAAATGGCATACAGATGTCATCATGCATGTGTACTGTTAGGTTAGGATTTTTTTGGAAAAAACACCCTGACACTTGAAACAGTACAATTATTTTTCATATTGCCATTGGCCTAAAGTATTAGAATACAATCTCATAATAATGCAATAATTTACACTGTAGAGTAAGTTTCCAGCAATAATTATTTGAATATTTTCTAAGAACTAAATCCAGTTATATTTTATTGGTATTGTCACCAAATAAAATCATCTGTGAAGACTCAAAATCTCAGTTTTCATTTGGAAACATCAGCTACTTTTATTGTAGCACTCATTATATTCCTTGAATATTAATTTAGCTCTTGGTGATTACTCTCTCTATTTATTTACTTCCTAACGGTGAGATCTCTTTAAACACCAACAAGGAAAGCTCTATTAATATCAAATGTGCAGCCCTCTGAGGAATCAGGTCTCTTAAGGCATTGTCTATGATAATTAGGAGAAGGTTAACTCCTCTTTGCAGAAAATGCATTGCAAAGGCATTAACAGTTTTCTTAGCCAGTCCGTACACTGAACGATGAAAGTGCCTCTTCCTTTCTATGAATTAAATCTTGGTGCTGTCATTCCTCACACATGACTACAAATACATCAGGATCTAAGTGTTTCTCTGAGGAATACAGACAATAGATACAATTATTAGGAACTATTTAATCTATTAAGTAAAAGATCTGTACGATGCAATTTTCTTTAGCTTTATTCTTTGACATTAATAGATTCTTACTAATAGGTAAATTAACGACATATTAGAAAACTTGTTTGTAAAGTAACAGTCTCACTTAGGTATCAAAATAAGAAACTTGGATTTTTTTATTTTGAATTTGAATGAATGAGAAGAAAAACAACTTTTCCCCCCTACTGAACTGCCATGATTATGATGGAATTCTGGTTTAAAGGATATTGAGTATTTTCAAGGGTCTCTACATATTTTACAGATGCCATCATCTAATTTTCACCATTATAGCGTATCCATGAAACAATGAGGTACAGACACACCTTTCATGAACAAAAAGGCATTTTAGCTTTTTAAGTTGAATGAATACCAAGTCTACTTAGAAGCACACAAATTCTGTGCTGTTAGCCAAGAAAGTTAGTTGACAACTGTAATTAAGAAAACACCACCAAGAGCATATTCGTCAGCCTTAATTTGCCCTTGGCAAACCTGGATATTTTGTCACACGCGTTTCTTACAATAGAAGCATTTCCATCATCTATCACTTTTTTACACTGAGATGCAGAATGGACTTGACATCAATGTTAGGATTAATGTTAGGAAAGAGCTGCATTAAACAAGTACCCACTTGCACTCAGTAACACCCAATTACACCTGTACAGCTAAGGAAAGGCTTAGCTCTGACAAAAGACATTTAGATTCAAAGAATGAACAAAATCACTAAGATCAACAATTATAACAACAATAATCAAGTACCAAAGCAGAAGTAGTTACTAGCATCTGCAAGAAAACATACTTTTACATGTCTGCAAGATTCCTTTATTTTTGTATATAGAAATTAAAATTTGAATCAGTCTTTCTCCATAGCCTCAACTTCAAATGCGAACAGTATAAAATAGGTACGTTTTCCTAGGAGGACAACAAACTCCTATCCCTTTTATCAGCCGTCACTGATACGGTTTGACCAGGATCTCTTTTTAGCTCCACTTCAAACAGACACAATGACAAACAAACAAAAACTAAAACCAAAAAGACTGTCCCAGCTTTTTAAATTTAGATGGCAATTGTTGCTACCTTTAGTGAAGTTTGGCAAGTTCAAGGTCATACTGGAGTAGTATAGAACCATTTGTTTTTTCATGAAAAATTATGATGAGAATAACATTAAGTATATTTACAATTCAGACAAACTCTCATTCTGCAAAATGATGAGTGAAACGAACCTTTTAAGCCGGATGGGATTTCAGCACAGTTGTAATCTGAGGATCAGGGCATTTTAAAAACCAAACCCACTGTGTGCAGCTCACGCTGTGGCCTTCACAACAGAGCCCACC